GGCCTGGCCTGGCCGGGCCGCTCACCCTACCCTGCCCCCGCATGGCCCGGCCCCGCCGCCAACTCTCCGCGATGCACGGCCGCGCCGCTCACCCAGGCCGCGCGCCTCGATAACTCCCGTGTCGGGCCCAGGCTGCTGCTGTGCATGTCGCTGGGCGGATGCAGTCCCGGCCCGCCTGGAAATAGGAAGTGGTCCGTTCCGCAGCCCCGGGCCCAGCTCCCTGCCGCCGGGGCGGCTCTCCCGCAGGGCCACACAGGCCGCCTGCGGCTCCTTCGGCGGGAGCCCCCCGTGCGCGCCGGACTGGAGGCGGCCTGTGTTACAGCCCTGGCCCTTCGCTCGGCTCCCTAGGAGCTGGCACGTTTCCGCACCGCTCCTGCCCCACGGGGCCTGGACCGGCGAACAGCCCCGCCCAGCTTGCTCAGCAGCGGGACGGGGGTCACGGGGTGTGAGGCGCTGCGCTGAGATCGCATTGGTAACGGACCCACCAGGCTGGGCCACACGGTGTTGGGTGGCCGCAGAACACCAAGCCATGGCCCTGGGTAGGCACAGCTTACAGCAGTGTGCGTCTCAACCTTTTCCTGCTGGCCATCCTCTTTGGACTTAAAAAAAATGACACCCCCCCAGCTCAGGGCTCCAGATTTCAACAGCCCCACAGGGTTCTGGGTTTCAGCCCAGCATGGGTCTGAAACGTACATTAGCTTTCTGGGGGACCAGGGAATAGCCCTGCTACCTACCCCCTCATGCTTGCGACCCCCTGAAGTTCCCCTCCTGTAGGGTTACCATATTTAAAAAAAACCAAAAAGAGAACACTCCATGAGGCCAGGGCCCCACCCCAACTCCGCCCCCTCCCCAAAGTCTCCGCCCCCTGCTCCTCCCCTTCCCCTGCTTCCCGCGAATCAAATGTTCGCTGGAAGCCTGAAACAGGCAGGCAGCAGGTAGGCTGGGGCCATGGGGCACAAGGAGGCGTGGCCCAGTCCGGACCCACCAGCGGAGCGGCTCTGGCCCCGGCGTCTCTGGCCTGGCTCGGCTCGGGCCCTGGGGCGCCGGCCCCGGCCAAGCGGCGCCGGCCCGCCCTGGTCCCAGCAGCTTGGGCCCCGCTTCCGGCCAAGCGGCTCTGGCCCGGCCCCAGCCCCGGCTGAGCGGCCAGCGGCCGAGCACCAGCGGCTCCGGCTTCAGCCCGGATCCAAGCCCCACAACCCCTCCCTATTTCCCGGACATGTCTAGCTTTTTGGAATTTCCTCCCGAAGGGGGATTTGAGGACCAAAGAGCCGGACATGTCCGGGAAAAGCCGGACGTATGGTAACCCCACCGTCCTGCAGCCCCCAGATTGAGAAACACTGTCTTAGAGAACATACATAAGAGCAGCCATATTGGGTCAGACCAATGGTCCATCTAGCCCAGTATCCTGTCTTCCGACAGTGGCCAGTGCCAGGTGCCCCAGAGGGAATGAACAGAACAGGTAATCTCCAAGTGATCCATCCCCTGTTGCCCATTCCCAGCTTCTGACAAACAGAGGCTAGGGACACCATCCCTGCCCATCCTGGCTAAAAGCCATTGATGGTGATGGACAGAGCTGCCATGAATTTAACTAACTCTTTTTTGAACCCTGCAATAGTCTTGGCCTTCACAACATCTTCTGGCAAGGAGTTCCACAGGTTAACTACGTTGTGTGTTTGTATGTTTTAAACCTACTGTCTATTAATTTCATTTGGTGACCCATAGTTCTTGTGTTATGAGAAGGAGTAAATAACACTTCCTTATTTACTTTCTCCACACGTCATGATTTTATAGACCTCTATCATATCCCCCCTTAGTCATCTCTTTTCCAAGCTGAAAACTCCCAATCTTATTAATCTCTCCTCATACAGAAGCTGTTCCATACCCCTAATAATTTTTGTTGCTCTTTTCTGAACCTTTTCCAATTCTAATATATCTTTTTTGAGATGGGGTGACCATGCATGCAGTGTTCAAGATGTGAGTGTACCATGGATTTATATAGAGGCAATATGATATTTTCTGTCTTATCTATCCCTTTCTTAATGACTCCCAAGATCTCTTTCTTGAGTGGTAATAGCTAATTTAGACCCCATCATTTTATATGTGTAAGCAGGGTCTGAATGAATGCTTCCCTGACAGCTAGCTGGGAGGGGGAAATACTGGAGGGGGGTATGTAAATACAGTTTGCTCTTGCTCTGTTTACATATTCAGCAGAATACAGCCGTGTCATCAAACTGGTATTGGGTACAAATCACCTTAGTACTGAATGCAGGGGTAGTGAAATATGGTTACCAATGTTGTAATTGTTGTAGGAATACAGGACAGCAGGACTGGGCACCCTCAGTTGAAAGAGCATCATTAAAGCAGGGACTCAAATGTCAGAGCCCTGTGAAAGTTAGAGGGGTGGGGACAGGAGTCCCTATGTCTAGTCAGGAGGCTGTACAATCTCCTTTTCCCCCCTTCCCTCCTCTTCAGACTGGCTTAACCTGGTCTTCCCTACTGTTCAAAGAATAGAGCTAAATAGGCTTCATTAGGAGTCTTTTTTGTTACTTTAATTGCTCAATCAGAGCTGAAACCAGTTATGGTAGGACTGTGTTTCTGCCCTGCCTGCTAAAATTACTGAGAGCTGCAATCACTTGAGATGGGGCAGTGTTTCTGTCCAGCCTGCAAAAGAGCTGAAAATCACTGAGAAACTGATGTGCAGGTCACAGCAGAGAGGCAGAAGGTGACTGAGTGACTAACTGACAGTCAGCTGGCAAATGAGTGACCAGCAGGGTGGCGGCACAGCAGCTTGACGAGCAGCCAGCAGGGCGGCGGCGGAGAGGCGTGATGAGGGGCTAGCAGAGTGGCTGGTGGAGGGGTACAGTGAGGGCAGTGAGCAGGTGGCCGGTGAGCAGCCAGCGGAGTGAGTAAGACGCCTCTTTATCGCCCATCCGGGGGGGAGGTGAACTCTGCAGATGCACCTCTGAACTCTGGGTCTGCACTGACCAAGGACAGCAACTGTGAGTGGGGTACAGAGATGGGTCAGACATGTTGTCATAACTATAAAGGGAAGGTTTCAGAGTAGCAGCCGTGTTAGTCTGTATCCGCAAAAAGAACAGGACTACTTGTGGCATAGTCTCTAAGATGCCACAAGTACTCCTGTTCTTTTTATAAAGGGAAGGGTAACAGCTGTCCTGTGTACAGTACTATAAAATCCCTCCTGGCCAGAGACTCCAAAATCCCTTTCCCTGTAAAGGGTGAAGAAGCTCAGGTAACCTGGCTGGCATCTGACCCAAAGGACCAATAAGGGGACAAGATACTTTCAAATCTTGGGGGAGGAGGGCGAGGCTTTTGTTTGTGCTCTTTGTTTTGGGAGTCATTCGCTCTTGGGACTGAGAGGGACCAGACATCAATCCAGGTTCTCCACATCTTTCTAAACAAGTCTCTCCTATTTCAAACTTGTAAGTAAATAGCCAGGCAAGGCGTC